CGTGTTATATTTGTGTCTCGAGTTACGTAAAGCTGTGGTGCAACCAATGTAACACAGGAAGGCTGGACAGATTTTAGAAAGATAATAGGAATGTGTGGGCACACAAATCTGTGGGTGTCTAGAATGAGTGTGAAGGGCAGAATGGCCAAATAGCAAGTAATAGCAGGACGGCAAGTCATTAACTCTTTCACAGCCACATGAAAGCTTAATTTTAGCCCTTCACTGAGATTTGACCAGGAGCCTACTGTAGTTGATAAATAATCCCACCCACCATCCCTATTGAGGGTCAATCAATGTCTGCCCCCCCCCACACTTTTTAAGACAGGGTTCTCTGTGTAGCTCTGGCTCTCCTGGAACTCACTTTGTAGACTAGACTGGCCTGAAACTTCGAGATCTGCCTCCCAAGTGCTGGGATAAAAGGTGTGCGCCACAACTGCTCGGCTTTACTCTGTAGAAAGTCCTTGACTACTGAATTGATGGGCACTTTGGAGACTCTGGCTGTAAGCTTCTCCCCAGCACAGGAACCAAGCCTCTACCCTCTACCACCTCCCTCCATTACCTCAACTTAACCATCAGATAATGGAAAACTCTGTCTGTGCAAGGCTCTGTGATGGGTGTTGGTACAGAATACAAAAGAACAGCTGTGTGTTGAGAACTGCTTATCAGACATTCCTGCATGCTCTGCCAGATAAAGGAATTAACTTTAATTCATCAGCTATATATTACTTGTTTACAAGTTTTTCAAATTTTATCTCCCACTGTGTGTGCCTGCATATGTCTGTGTGTGTGTACACGTGTGCGCATGGGTGCCAGAGGTAAATTTTAAATGTTTGTTTTTTTTTCCGAAGAGACAGGGTTTCTCTGTGTAGCTGGGCTGTCCTGGAACTCACTGTGTAGACCAGGCTGGCCTCGAACTCAGAAATCCGCCTGTCTCTGCCTCCCAAGTGCTGGGATCAAAGGTGTGTGCCACCACTGCCTGGCTTTTTTTTTGTTTTGGTTTTCTTGGGGATTTTTAGTGGGACTTTTTGTTTCTGTGTTTTGAGACTGGGCAGCCCTGGATGTCCTAGAATTCACTCTGTAGATCAGGCTAGTCTCAAGTCTTTCTGCCTCTGCCTCCCTACTGGGATTAAAGGCATGCAAGTGCTGGTGTGATCTCCATTTTCAGGTTCACTGGTGCTGATAACTAGAGAACCAAAGAAAAGCGCCACATGGTGGGGCCTTGAGGAGCCTGACAGGTGCAGAGGCCCCTGGAAAACTGGTTGGCACTGCCAATTATTACTAGGAAGATAAAATTTTCATTTGAAAAAGTCTCTAAATGTGTTCACAAGATTTTGGCAACCTTTGAGGGTAGTTGCATTAGAATGGTGGAGGTGGGAGCCAGATTTGTGGTGGGCAACCAGAAAATTAGCTACAAAAGGGACCATAAGACACAAGAAAGTCTGTCATCTTCCCGAGGCTATAGGCCAAAGTCAAGCAAATGTCAAGAGGAAAGGGACAAGATGCTGGAGGCTGTGGCACAATCAGTGCACCATGCAAGGGTAGAAAGCTGCAGGCAGCTTTCCATTACTGCCAACCCCCTGCCTTCCTCTGCCTGTTCTTTACATTCCAGGTTGTCACCTCTTTCAGAAGGCTGTATGGAGTTGTCTCCTTTGTCTTCTTTCCCTGGCAGAGCAGATTCCAGTAAGTATCCTGACCTCAACACAAAGCTGTAAATAAGTTGATTAAAAAAAAAAAATCAGACTCCCTAAAGGAAAGATATATTGGGTCATAAGTTCTATAAAGAATAAAAGAGCAGAAAATGATAAAGGGGCTTGCTATTTTTATAGGCCATTAAGAGATGGTCTTGACAAAATCTGGGCAGAGGTTGAATATGGAAAGGGGACAGACCACAGGCATTTATGTGGGACAAGCTTTCCAGCAAAGGAAATGCCAAGCACAAAAGCTTTGAAGAAGTGTGTGCCTGGCCTATCAAAGGCACAGCAAGGAGGGGATGTGCAACTGTATCCAAGCTCTGGGTTAGAAGTCACTTAAGGAAAAAGTCAGAAAGCCACAGCTTCGATGGGAGAGTTTTATAGGACAGGGTCACTGTCAGAATATAGGTGATATTCAAAGTCATGAAACAGTATCATCTGGAGAATAAAGGTATTTCAAAATAAGAGGTCAAAAAGACATCTCCTACCCCACAAAACTGCAAAGGTGAACGGAAATTTAAACTCAGTAACAAGGAATTATCAGTTTGCAAAGGTTTAGTAAATGATCCTAACAAAAAATGCTTGAGACAAGCATTTTTAAAGACAGGGTTTCTCTGTGTAGCTGTGGCTGTCTTGGGAACTTGTTCTGTAGACCAGGCTCACCTAAAACTCAATTCCCTGCCTGAGTTCTGTGATTAAAAGCAAAACTAATTTTTTTGTGTCTCCTTTTAAGTACCTGTACCTGTGTACAGTATGCTGAGAACAGAAGAGGGTAGTGCAGCCCCTGGAACTATCATGTGGGTGCGGGAAACTGAACCTGGTCCCATGCAAGGGCAGCCATCTCTCCAGCTCCCTTGCTCTTTTCACTTCCTAAAGCATTGGCAATATGTATCCTTTGCTCAGATTTGTGAAGAAGCCTGTCTTTAAAGATCATGTACATTCAGGCTGACCATTTGTGTTTTAGAAAACTGCTATGGTTTACATCAAATGGAAAGAATTCTTTTTGTGAATAGGTGTTTTGAAAGTAAGTTCCCCTAATCCAGCACATCTCAACTTGTGGGTGGCAACACTTTGAGGGGTCCAATTATCAGATACTTTCATTAGGACTCATAAGAATAGCAACATGACAGTTATGAAGTAGTAACGAAGTAATTTCATGTTTGGGGGCAGTGCAGCACTGGGAAGGCTGTGTTAAAGGGCCACAGCATTGGGAAGGCTGTGACTCACTGCTCATCTGAGTAACTGTTTCTGTCAGCTTCACTATAACCTTCCTGGATGGAGGTTTCTCTTCCAGTCAGAGTACGTGTAAGTGCACAAGGATCTAGGAAACCTTCACTCCAGTCCCATGTGCTCATGTTACCGACAAGGCAAAAGACAGCAGGACTTCCTGGGAAGGTCTCTAGGTCTTTCTACATACCATGAGCAAAATGGTAATGAGACTTAAGAGAAACTAGTTTTACAAAGCATAGCAGAAAATAAGACTAACACACAGATTAGGAGTCCCCAGAATAAGCGATTTTTAAAGGGCCATCCATTCATTTATATTAGCTACCCTGAGTCCAGTTTCCCCATGACAAGGCGTCAAGTCTCAGTTCTACCATATTGCAGTTTTCTAACACAACTTCAAATCTCAAAGCTGACATGAGGATGAAATTATTCACCCTTAATAGATCAAGAATGTTGGCACTGCCAGACATGGTGACACACCTTTAATCCCCAGCACTTGGGAGGCAGAGGCAGGCAGATTTCTAAGTTCGAGACCAGCCTGGTCTACAGCCAGGGCTACACAAAGAAACTGTCTCGAAAAAACAAAAAATAAAGAGGGGGGGGGAGGACAGGTGCTTGCACGCACGTGGATAGCCACCACCTAGGATCACTGCACTCTCATATATCCTAATACCAAACACAGCAGCAAACTCGGGCTTTAAGCTGTCAAGGGAGAAAACATGTCTAAAAACGGAGGCTTTCTTGAGGCAGTTGTTACTAGGTAACCCCAGCTATCCTTGCAGCTAGTAATCTGCCTGCTTCTTGCATCCTGCTAAGGTGTGCAGGTATCACAGCAACACGCTTGGTACTAGATTGTGATGTATTTAGTTTAGATTTGGATGCTGCTGAGGGATTCTGCACTCAAGGAAAATAAAGCCCATAGTGACAACTCAAGGGCTTTTAGTTTCTGAAGTGAAGAGAAAACCTCTGAAGGAAAATAAGACCTATAACAACACAGACCATGGTGTCTATGAGCCAAGAAAAACATACCAAAAGACCTGAGCAGAACCCTATTTCCTAAGACATTAACCTTGTGAATTTTAGCGCATTTAAGTAATTCTAACAAAATTCCCAGAACCAGGGACTTGGTGGGAATCTACAGAGACCCTTCCTGACTTGACAGGATTAAACGTGAGGACAACTAAGGCAGTTCTGTGAACCATGTACTGGACACACATGTACCTATACTCATACCATGTGTATATACACAGAGGCAGGTGCTTTTAAACACATTACTAGGTTAATGAGCTGTGACCACAGTCGCAAGCCGTTGCCTATGAAGGCAGCTAATGGGGACTTCACATCTAGTAGCCCCACTACTAGATGTTAACCAAGCAATCCATTTCACGAACACATGACACTTCGAGAGAACCACCCGTACCTTCACTGTCCAATTTCAGTATAACAAGCAACAGATAAGGAAGAGTTTGGCACTGCAAATTCCAATCCTGGCAAAACCTAAGAACTGCCAAAATGGCCATCAGAGAACGCTTAAGGCCAATTAGACTCTATCCTTACCACTCTGTGGCAACATTAAATGCAGCTACAAGTACAATCTGAAAGAACACCAGAAAGGTGTTCCAAAGACTTGTAAGGTCATTTATAATCTATAGGTTAGGAAAAAAGAGAGAAAAAAGAAAATCAATGCTTTCAGCAAATAGCACAAAATGTCTGAGCCACACTCCCAGTCCTGTTCTGGCTTAATTTTGTTTGCTCACTTTGGAGAATTCAGAGAATCTTCAAGGTGAGAATGACATCAGACACCCACTCCCTAAGAATATCCTTAGGATACCGATGTGCTACTATGGACATCATGCAGGACTTGAAGATCCTCCTGCCTCCACGTACTGTACCACCATGCCTGGCCAGCCACTAATTTTTCTTCCAGCTTTCCCACTGGTGATTCAGAACTGTCTTGAAACTAGTGTACATGTTTTGTAAATATTTGGCTATTTTCTAATCAAGAACACAGAAAATTTCTGTATACTAAACCATATCATTTAGAAGGATAATTAATAAAATTTGAACAAGAAAGACAATGAATGAGAAGCCAAACAGCGGTGGTTTACGCCTTTAATCCCAGCACTTGGGAGGCAGGAGGCAGAAAAAGTCGGATTTCTGATTTCAAGGCCAGCCTGGTCTACAGAGTGAGTTCCAGGACAGCCAGGTCTACACAGAGAAACCCTGTCTCAAAACAAAGAAAGACAACGAGAAGATACCATACTTGAACCTAAGGAAAAACTCTGCAGTTGGGTCCTTTATTTCTTTTATACACTAGGCCATGAATTCGTATGGAATGGGCTCCAGCAGCTCAGGCTCTTTCCCATTAGTCCTCACAAAGTGTGCTTCTCTGGGTGGTGCAGGCTGGTAAAGAGAAGGAATTATGGTAAAGTTTAGTTGTTCTTTGGAATTAATGAACACTCAATTCTTAAAAACTTATTAACAAAGTGAGCAAAGTTTTACAGGATCCTCAAGATTAACAATAAATACCACCAAGCTGGACTCTTACCTGGCGCTTCAGCTGAACCCAGGTGCCCTTCTCTTTGGCTTCCTTTTTCTTCTGATCGTTCTCCTTCACCCGCTTCAGGAAGCTGTCTCTGCTCTTCGAGTGTTTAATGTGCTCAATCCGCACATTGATCCTCTTGGCCAGAATCTTGCCCCTGGAATGACCAAAGAACAAATTCTAAGTGCTTCATTAAGAAACAACAAAAATGTATACTATTCTAATAATCGTTCACTCAAGATCAATATGGTGACACGTCAATCATTCTTACCCAAAGGAAGAGGCACACTTTAAAGCCACACTAGGCTAATGAAGTCTTAATGCTATAAAATCCAGCACAGACCACTCACTCACAGAATTCCCCCTCCCCGACATCAATGTTTCCCCTGACAGGTTACAAGACAAACACTTAAGTTTGCCTGAGTTTTAAAAGGTTATTTCCTTTGCCCCACTTGAATGGCCAATGAAGACATTAAGTCCAATTGGCAAAGTGAAAGGGGGTGTGCAACAGATTACTTAAGAGAAAGGTGTTGTACTCACTTAACTTGCTTGTTTACAATGATGCCCACGGCATGCTGGGTGACATTGTAGACTCTTCCGGTTTTGCCGTGGTAACACTTATGGGGCATTCCTTTTTGAACAGTACCCATTCCCTAGTCAACAGACAAAGTATTATTCCAGAAATTTCTCTTTTCAAATCATTGAACTAACCAAGGCTCCCTTTCAAGGTCAACTCAGGAACTCTCAGAGCCGGTGAAATGTGGTTTTCACACTGCATCAAGCAATCAAATAGACAGTCATCATCAAGTTCCAGAGCGCCAGAATATTCAACTAACCATCAAACCCACTGGGGTTTTCCTAAAACTTGCATCTTTAATAACAAATTTTGTCTTTTGACACAGGGGTCTAACTGTATAACCCCAGCTGGTCTTGAACTCAAGAAATCTTCCTGCCTTTGTATCCTGAATGCCAGGCTTAAAGGCATGAGCCAGCACTCTCAATTTCTAATAACATACATTTAACGGCATCTTTTTACCCCTACTATTAACTTCAAGTAATTAAATCACCATTCCCTTTTTTTTTTTTTTTGGTTTTTCGAGACAAGGTTTCTCTGTATAGCCCTGGCTGTCCTGGAACTCACTCTGTAGACCAGGCTGGCCTCGAACTCAGAAATCCGCCTGCCTCTGCCTCCCAAGTGCTGGGATTAAAGGCGTGCGCCACCAACGCCCGGCTAAATCACCATTCCTAACTTGTGGTGCTTATTCCTCCATACAAACTTACCTTGATGTCTACAATATCACCCTTCTTATAGATTCGCATGTATGTGGCCAAAGGAACAACTCCTACAACAGAAAAAAAAAAAGAATCAAGAAGATACCTAGAACAGGTACGCTTTCATGAAGGTACCAGTTTTCAACACAAAGTACACATTTTTGGTAGTTACATACACTATAATGGACAATTTCTCCTACAAGCAAAGCCAGTCTAAGGCATGCCACTTCTTTCCAGGGCAAGCCTGCACAGACAATTATGAGACTATGAGAGAGGCATGCTTTCCCTTATGGCAGAATACAGGCATGTGCTGCCAATGAGCCATTTAATGATATAGGACACAGACAAACCACTAATATCAAAGAGGATCAAGTCACTTACCATGTTTCCTAAAAGGCCTAGAGAACATATACCGAGTGCCTCTCCTCTTTCCCTTTGTGTTGGTCATTTTGGCGAGTTAACTGAAACCAGAAAAGTTACCAGTCAAACAATCCAAACTTAATGTTAGCAACTCTCCTATTAACCTCTATCCAATGTTTACATTGTGTGGTATTACATTAAAAACTGGATTGCACACTGTCCCTAAAGATTACACAGACTGACTCCATCAACCCCAACACTTCCCTCAACCTCCACAGCACTAGAATTGAAACCAGGTGCCCACAATTCCTTAAAGAGTCCAAATTCTGTCATTAAAAACAGCAGGACTAGATGTTAAAACTTAGGCCTATATACTGTTATCTACATGTAAAACAGCTTAGAATGCAAAAGACACTGAGACCTGCCAACTCCAGGATAACTTGGGAGCTCACCAAACTCAGCCTGTTCTATCAAAATTCTCTTAATTCCACATTTCCATTTGCTAATGTTTTAGAAAGCATGTATGGAAAACCATATTCCCACTAAATTTAATGCAAGCCCAATGCTTCCTGCTACAAGAACTACTTAAACCCACATTCCTACCTGTAAACGGACTAATTCTAATAAGCAGTAAAATAATAGCCTCCAAAGATTTTTGGCACAAAAAGACTACTCCAACTGGCAGCTAATTTAGCACCAGCTAAGAACTTACACGTATTTCCCACAAACCAACAAGGTTTGGATCACTTCAGTCATCCAGGGCAGAAATAGACGCCATTCCTAACCACAAGGGAAGCACCAAAGCAGGGTGTACTAGAGTGAACCAACTGCCCTTTTAGTCTTAAGCAATGCTGTAGCAGCCTTAAGGTTACCTTCCTTCCCCAAGCTCGTCTTCTAGGGCCAAAATCTGCAAATTGCTAAGTGTTTCATGCATCCGGAGGACGGCGTCCCCATTACCAGGCTGACTCGGCGGGCACCCTCCTCGCCCTAGCCAATTCCAAGCTTGTACACACCCAGGTATCGTTAAGACCCAAACCGAATCATAAGTTCTAACCCGACAGCACATGCTCAAGTTTGGGGTAAGGCGGACGCTCGGGAACCAAGACTGAGCCAGGCCCGGCTTCCCTTGATAAAAACCCCTTACCCACACCGCCCAAGCCAGTGACCTCCAGAGAGTCTCCCCACTACCCTAACACGCAGTCTCTGCGGCCTGGACTCCACAAGCAGCGTGTGAGAAGCGCAAGACGAGGGAGCCACGCGCGTACCAACCTGGAAGATGGCTGCCTAGGCCGAAAGGAAGAGGGCGGGGCTGCGCGCTCTTACAAGGCCCGAGGGCTGCCCACGGTGCCGCCTGAAGAGAAACGCCCGGCCTGCGAGGCTCTTCGAGAGGGCCTCATAGCCCCGATAACCTGGATACGCCGTGAGGATGCTCTCCTTTGTGCAGATTAAAGGCAGCAGGCCAACAGAAACTCACACAGGCACCCTGTTAGACAGCTCAGAATGGGGCCCTCGCGAGCGTAGAGCTAGACGCGCTTCCGTAGCGTGTTGACGTTTCCCGTGCGTCATGTGACGTAAGGCACCGCCTCCCCTCTGGGTTGGCCTACGTTCCGCTGTGCAGTGCGTCTTAGTGGTCGTAGCGTGTGTGCTGAGTCGCGTAGGCTGACAGTTACGTGTGGACAAAAAAAAAAACAAAAAAAAAAAAACAAAAAACAAACAAACAAACAAAAAAAACCTTGTCTGTGTGTATTTCAGGTTTTTCTCCAGAAGTAGTTAACACACCTACTGGTCTGTTAAGTTTGAAAAGCCATGAGTGGTGCGCATGCTCATAATCTTAGTCTTCGGGAGGCAGAGGCAAGAACGGCTCGAGTTTCGAGACCGCCCTCAGCCATATAGTTGAGACCCTGTCTCAAAAAAAAAAAAAAAAAAAAAAAGCTTCACTTCGGTTTTCTTTCCTCTCATACCTGTAGTTTCATCATGTCCAGACACTCGCCTATCTTGTTTAGTATATATTAGTATATTAACTGTACAGATGATAGGTTTCATTTTGACATCTTAAGACAGGCATGTGTGTAAAGTACTCTCATATTCACCCTTATTAGCCTCACGTTTCCTTCCATTCCTGTCTCCCTGGCTGCAGATACGGGTGTTTAGTCAGTCGTACTGGAAGCAGTATTCCTGATTAATTTATTGGCATAACCGAATGAGGATTTCGAGAGATGAACATTGTTATTTTTGTAATAGCTATCCGGATCCTCGTTCCACTTATGCAATCGTCCCCCACTTAAATTTGGAGACATTAATATCTGTCCTTAATATGCGTTCTTGGGAAGTTAATTCCTACCTTCAGCAAAACAAGAAACCAGTGTGCTGGTTCAGCCAGCTAGGAGGGTGGAGTGCACGTCTTTGATCTTTACTCTGGACTGCATAGTATTGGAACCGAGCTGAGATCTCTGCCAAGCCATGCTCACGGACAGCCTACTGATCAGAGTCAGCTCACTTCCCTCAGCTTCTGCCTGCTCCCAAGGCTCATCCTTGAATATTTATGGACTCTGAAAACCACTGTATCCTGCTAATAAACCCCAATAATAAATTCACTCAAATCTAGTGAATGACATGTCCAGCCAGGGTTAAGTTCTGTTTGAAATTCCATTCATTCATGCTAGATGATGGCCATTTAATTGGAAGATTCTGTAATAACATTGAAGTCCTATCTCAGAGAGTTTGAAAAACATAACTGATTTAATTAACCAGGAGTTTAATATGAGGCTTTAATTATTGAGCAATCTTTAATATCTATGATCAAATTATGTACAGTTGCTTATAATTAATTTTTATCTTGGTCATAGCAAAATTTTATTCCCAAAGCAATTTTTGTCTGATTTTGAGATAGAGTCTCATGTTGCTATGACTGATTTAGACTCAGAAGGATCTGCCTGCCTCTGCTTCCTGGGTGTGTGATTAAAGGTGGACACCAGCATGTCTGGCCTAATTTTTCTGTTTTGTTTTGTTTTTTTTTTTTAGCATATTACTTACTTTAGCTGATTTGGGTTGAGTGTAATCAAAATAATACTAGTGCTAGCCTAAGAGTTAAGAAAATAAAAATACGCTGGGCGGTGGTGGCACACGCCTTTAATCCCAGCACTTGGGAGGCAGAGGCAGGCAGATTTCTGAGTTCGAGGCCAGCCTGCTCTACAGAGTGAGTTCCAGGACAGCCAGGGCTACACAGAGAAACCCTGTCTCGAAAAACAAACAAACAAACAAACAAACAAATAAATAAATAATAAAAGAAAATAAAAATACTATACAAAGATGAATACCAGAATTAAACATGTTCCTGCTCTGGGCCATTGTTTTAGACTTTACCCATTGTCTGTGATATATGTGTGTGTGCATGTGTGCACATGTGTGTTAGCATATCTCTGTGTGTATGTACATACATATTTAGGTATATAAGTTGAGAGTTTCAACTTATGCTAAATGTGCAGATGCTAAGTGTATAACTGGATTTTTATACTAACATTTTTAAGCTTCATAACCTATACCTGCAGTCAATATAAAGAATGTTACCTCCCCCAAGATTTCTGGAACTTCTTCCTAGTCAATCTACTCTCCCATCATAGTCATGAAATAGTCTTGATTTCTTTATTCTGTCATTTGTTTTGTCCTTTCTTTAAACAAACAAAGGGGCTAGGGAATTGAATCCAAGGCACGGTGTATGCCAGACACCCACTGTAAGGATAAGCTATATCCCTGTTCAGTATCCCAATTTCTATAAAAATATCGTTTAATTGCAGGTAAGCAGTACCATACAATTTATGGTTTTTTTCTCTCATTTTTTTTTACCCTTCTTAGTGTTTTGAGATTCAATCATGTTGCACATGTCAGTAGTTAAACATTATTTAATGCTAACTAGTATTTCACTGTATGGATATACTGAAATGTGACTTCGTGGTCTTTTGACTAAGACCAGGTGAATCTTTTAATAAAGGTGCATAAGTTTTCATGAACTTGTTCTTCTTTCTGTTGGGTTGATACGTGGCAGGTATGTTTCTGGTCATATATTAGGCCTTTACTTCACTTCACAAAAGCATTGCAAAGTAGTTCCCAAAGGGAACCACAGTTTTGTTTATCTAGCATTCTCCTCTGAAGGAGTAAAGCATATATGCTCTTTATTATGATGGCAGGGTCTTATTAAATCTCTCAGGCTACTTTGAACTCTTGGACTGAAGTGACCCTTCTGCCTCAGGCACCCTGGTAGCTGGGTTGTTAAGTTAGCTACTTTGCCATCCACAAGAAATTATTTTGTGCCGGGCAGTGGTGGCACACGCCTTTAATCCCAGCACTTGGGAGGCAGAGACAGGCGGATTTCTGAGTTTGAGAACAGCCTGGTCTACAAAGTGAGTTCCAGGACAGCCAGGGCTACACAGAGAAACCCTGTCTCAAAAAAGAAAGAAAGAAAGAAATTATTTTGTACTGCAAGCATCTTATTTATTTGAGACAAGGTCTCAATATCTAAACAGGCTAGCCTCAAACTCATAGAGATCTTCCTGCCTTCACCTTCCTGGGACTGGTATTAAAAGTGTGCTCTACCACATCTGACTATTTTATTTGTTGGTTTTGAACTATTGGTGATCAAAGACCTCATGCATACTAGGCAAGTGCTTTTCCACTGACCTATGTCCCCAGCCCTGCCTCGTTTAAAAACAGTTGTGTCACCAGCTCCACTGTACAGATCTTCAAACCAAAGTAGTTTCCTGAGTTCCTCATGATCAATTTGTCTCTAGTTTGAGGTCATTAATAGAAAGGGAACGAAAAAAGTGTTGAAATAGAAAAAATGTAGTAAGTTTGAGAATTCACATTTCATTCAGTATTTATGAGCATCTAGGTTCAGTCAGGAACTGTCACATGGCATGAGGCTATAAGTGTAAAGTAGTCCTTGCTCTCAAGGACCCACAGGGAGACTGGCAGGAGAGAAAGGTAAATCCATACATTATTCCAAGTGCCCTAATAAAAGAGACTGAGTTTGAGCACTGTGGGAATTGTGTAGAGGAAACCGGTGTTCCCCGATTAGAGGAAGTGGGCCAATCTCGAAGCTTCACATAGAGTCCAGCTTAGTGAAAGACTGAGACTGGTCAACAAATGCAAGTGGAGAGCTTCTGGCAGAAAGAAAGCTTGTGAACAGACGGAGCGATGGATCATAATGTGAACTCAGAAAAATGAAATCACCCAATAGCTACAGGAAGGAAGGTAAGCACCAAGAGGTGGTGTCCTACAATGAAGGGCGTATAAAAGAGACTTGACTAAAACACTTCACAAAACACAGCTTTGGACGGGGAATGTAGCTCAGTGGACAGAAACTCTCCTAGTATGCAGAACACCATTTGTTGCAGCACTGGGAGGAAAAAGATAAATTTGCATCTCTGCATAGTATGTTTTTGTATTATCTCTTATGAAGGACTTTATAAAGAATTATTTGATGAGCCAAGTTGTGGCACAGGCCTTTAATCTTAGCACTTCAGAAGCAGCAAGCAGATTTTTGAGCTTGAGGCCAGCCTGGTGTATGTGGTAACTTCCAGGACAGCCAGGGCTATACAGAGAAACCCTATCTCAAAACAAACAAACAAACAAACAAATTATTTAATTTGTGTGTATGTATGTGTACTTGAGTGTGTGTATGTGTGAACATAGTGCCTACAGAGGACAAAATAATAAGTTCCCCTGGAATACAGAAAGTTGTGAGCCACCATTTGAGTGTTGGGAATTGAACCAGGGGTTTTGGGCAAGAGCAGCCAGTGTGCTTGACCACTGAGCCACGTCTCTGACCTCAGAAGAATGATTTAAAAAGTGTGTTTGCTTTCTTCTTCTTCCTCTTCTCCTTCTTGTTCTCCTTCTCATTCTCCTCATTCTCCTTCTTCTCCTCCTTATTCCTTCTCCTCTTCCTCCCCCCCCCCCACTTCTTCTTTCATCCCAAAGACATTGGCTATCAAGAGAACACATTTTCAAAGCCTGTGGGAAACAGCGTCTGTCCTCTACGGCTAAGGTGCCATCTATACCCTGTCTGACGATCTTTCCTCTTTTTTCTGATTGCCCTTTATCTTGATAAGAGGAAAAATTAGTGGAAGGATACTTGCAGATAAGAACCGAAGAAGAGCTGGACGGTGGTGGCGCACGCCTTTAATCCCAGCACTTGGGAGGCAGAGGCAGGTGGATTTCTGAGTTCGAGGCCAGCCTGGTCTA